ATGTCAAAGCCAACGGGAATCGTAAAGGCACGACATACCCTCATTATTCTGAAATCAATTTGGAAATCTACTGCACACAACATAAAAGACAAGAAGAGGATTTCCAACAACGATATCAAGTAAGTTCTTTTATATGGTTCATATAGACTTGACGCGTTACGAAAAGCATTTCCAACAGCCTGATGCAAACTTTTATCAACAACCGCCTCTGCTGACTCCATAATGAATATCAAGTGACAGGGGTCTCTGAAGACGAACTAACCAAGACCCTATTGCGCAACAAATATGCTGAAAGAAATGGAGGTGGATAGGACATTACACCCTCTGGGCAAGCCATAAGGTCGTACCGGAATGGGAGACGATGAGTTGGGGTATGGGGTGTGCAAAGAAGAAATATGAGCTTATTGGCGACCGTGGAGCCAGCTAAAAAGACTAAAGAAAACAGGATGATATGCAGATGTACTGTTGAAGCCCTACGTTCCACTCGGAACCTAAGAGAATAATATTGAGGTCAGGTATATAGTGTTAAATAAAGAAGGTAAGTCAGTAGATGAGATTGTAAAGCTACGTCCGCTGGTATGGCTAGGACACTTGTTCCGTATACTGAGGCATTGCCTTCCTCGATGAGTAATGCTAAATGGCATAGGAATAGGTTGGAAAAGAGTTAAAGGTGGTCAAATCAAAGCCTGACGTGAATACATGAAGTCATTGATTGTTGGTTTGAGCCAACCACATAGGGAGGCATAGACTATCTGACTGGGATTCTTGAGACTGTTTGTGTTATGGCCTGAACTTGTTCTCAATCGCACAGATGCATTCATCCTTTATGAATTCTTGGATCCATTGAGTTTTCATGTTTCTCCCGCACATTTCTGATCACTATAGTTCTTTTCAGTTTCTTTCTCTTCTTTCCTCTACTTCTGTGTGGTACTAAATAGAGTTTGGTAAGTTGAACTGCTGTACTTCAGTGCAAAGTCCTACGTTGAAACTCAATCAATCAGTTACTCTGAGACTGTCATGCTGTACTATAGCACTGACATTGTAAAGGCACCAAAGCGGCACCAAAGGTTGCTCAGTCACTACACTCGTCTTTAGGGTTGGTGGTGGGTGGTGGCGATGTACACACAACATACTTCATGGTTTACTTCCTCTCTGATGTTCGTAAAACACACCTCATTTTGTTAGAAAATTACTTTGAAAGGTGAACAAGAAACATTTCCGGCTTCTCAGAAGCCCACTCGGTCCTCCTTTATGGCTGTGAGACCTGGTCATTGAAAATGGAAGACATGAAAAGATTAACAAACTGTCTTTCATCATAGGTATCTGTATTCTATCTCCCGTGTTAAGTGGTATAATAAGGTGAGCCATATTGAAGTTAAGCTTCGGTCGAGTGCTGAGTAGGGAGAGGAAATCAATCGACGAGACTTTGAAGTTACACCGACTGAGATGGTTAGGATATGTGTTAAGCATGCCTCGCCAGCAATCACCTTCCTCGACGGGCAATGTAAGATGACACAGGATGTGTCAGGTTGGAAAAGAGACAACGAATGGTGGTCAAACCACAACATGACCTCATCAGTCAATGAAATCCACAACAGTTAGTTTAGGTCATTCAGCCATGCAGGGAGGTGTTGCGGTTCCCGGGTTAGTAAGAGCCGATGACGGCTGGAGACAATTGGTGATATGGCTGGCTCAAAATCTTTGTTCCCAATGGTGCATATGCATCCACTCCTTGTGACTTATAATATCCAATCAAACTCTATTGTTCTTCCATATTATTACTATTTTGCCTCATATCTCTGTTTCGAATCTCTTTTTACTCTCTTCTCTTGCTTTGTGTGCTAAGCGAAATGTGGCAACTCGAACTGTCGCACATCGGTGCAAAGCTCTACACTGGAACCATTCAGTCAGTTTCCGACTGCTACCCTTTTTCAAGTCAGTCAAATAAATAATCAACACGACTAACTGGTAGTGTAGCCACCTGATTTTCATAAATCAAAAATTGATCATTGGCAATGAATGTTCTGAATCCTCTTTCCCTTCAGAACTATACCTATCTAACTATTCAACCATCCATATAAGTAAATATCATACAATGCATATGCACACATGCACGCAAACATGTAGAAATGATTTCTTATGTAACTTCTTTGTGTAAAAGGAAAAAAGTGGGTAACACTACATGTTAAAGCAATACGAATTTAGCTAAACATGTTGTTACGTAACGCTGCGTTGATTTGCTTACTTTTTCTTAAAGCAAAACAAATTGATGGATTTATAGTTCTAACTAACTTCTCTCTCCCCCTTCCACTTTGATCTAAAACAATATACATAATATATATATGTATAGTTAACGAATGTAGCTATCTATTAAAAAGCTATCGATTAATTATGTAACAATTTCCTTCTAAAGGTAAGTCAATTAAACAGTTCTCCTTCAGATTAATTCTGCGTTTCTCCACTGACATGTAAGCGCTCTTAGTAAGGACGTTTCGACAATATCTGAGGATTGATGTCGTCTTATTTCTTGGCTGATTGTGACAAGCCACGCACAATGTGTATTTCGTCCCATTTGAGACTCATCACCCGAATGTACCTGCATCTCTAAAGTGAGTGATTGTGTTCCCCCACTGAGATTCGAATAGGTATGTCATCATTCATTGGAGATGGATTACAGCCACGTGTAACTGACGAGTTTCAAATAGGAGGAAATATTGTGCGTCATGAATTAAACTGCGAGTCAAACAGTTATATCATGTCAGAATGAAACCATGTTGCTTAGTACTACTTGATGTCAAGCATAAGAATCACCAGTCCGAACTCAGTCACCAGAAACAACACAGAGAGAACAACAAGAATGCGAGAGAATTTTTAGAAGCCAGCCTGGCATTCCAGTGAATTATCAATCAATAGACACATTGAGATAGACAAAATTTATCAATCGATAAGAAAGAAACCTCACACACACAAAGGGTCAAAGTTCAAGTCAAAGAAACAATCAGTCCCAATACAAGTAGCTGTCTAGAAGGTGTGAAAACACACAAAAACAACCAATCACGTCTAAGGTCACCAAGAGAGATGATTAATAAACGCGTAGAGAAATCTAAAAGATCACTTCAAATTGAAGTATGCGCTGAAGATGTTGCCTATAGGGCGATGAAAGCTTCGCAAACTAACCATCCAGCTCAGAGAACACAACCACATAAAAAAAAACACAATTCGAAACGCAAACCGAAAGATCATCAAATATTAGACCAACGAGAAGATGATCACCAACAATACGAATGAATGCAATCACACAAGAAAATATACAAGAAAGAAACCAATCACAGCATAATGGTAACCAGGTGAGGTAAATACCTCCACAGCTCAATTCGAATTGAAGGATATCTTTCTTAACATTTTTCTATCTTTAATTATGGATGTTTATCTCTATTTCTCAACTTAACGACCGAATTGGTCGGGTTGATGCTATTAAGCGTTTGAAAGCTATTGGTACATCGTCCAGCACTCCCTCCCCACTTTGGTTCGCTGTTCTTTAACTTTGCCAAGACAATGTGAAAGCTTTGCAATAGAATCATCCTAAGCGACAAGGTTACAAAAATACCCAAAATTATCTCGGCCTATACTACAATGCATTTTTCGCGGGAAATGAGAGAAAATAGTGCAGGAGATCGGAACATGCTTCTAAGCAGAACAATATCATCTCATGATTATCATTCAACTTGGAGATCCTGTAATAAACATCGTTGAGAATTCTGTACAGTATGTTTATATACTATTATTACAGAAGCATCGTGAAGCACCCACTGAGATATATAAATGTCCTTTATCAATGTATTCAGTGGCAGTATGGCGTGTGCTACTAACTAGATTTTGTAAGTAATATATATTATGTGTGCTTTGTCTTCGGCAAGAATATTGAATAGCAGAGTGATAGATGGAATAGAGAAAAGACGAAATGAAAGATCTTTGTGAAACAATGAGGAAAGCATAAAACGAAGACAAAAAGAAGACAATGCGAAGAACGTGGGCAAATGGAGACTTCATTGTAATAGGGTTTCAGTATTTCGCCAAAACAACTGTACTTTTATCGAACACTACCCGTGTGTTCAGCCATTACACCAGCAGAAAAACAAATTCATATTGATAAAAAATTAAGAATATTGAAACATATATCAACTGAGAATCTTAAAACAAAATGACAACATCAACGGGATAGCACTCCTCAACCTCCTTCACATCTCCACACTTAATAACTCACATGCCGACCGTCTATTACTATTATCACTGTTTTCCTTGAGTTCCGAGTGGAACATAGGGCTTCAACAGCAGCTCATCTTCCTTTTATATTGTTCTCTGCGGTCATCTACAGCTGGACCCATAACTGCCTATTGGTTCTAATCTCCTTCCCTCACTGTTCCCACATCCATCGGATTGTTCCCCCATTGGAGTCCCTCTCGAGCTATGACCTGGCACGCGATGTCATCCAACGGTCCCCTCAACGTGTGTCTGATCCAGTTCTATTCTCTTCAGAATATTTGTTGAGCAATAGGTAGTTGGTTGGCTCTTTCCTAGAGTTTCTTGTTGGTAATTCTTTCTGGTCAGCCATTTTCAATATGAAGCGAAGGCAACACTAACAGGCTAGTCATCTTTAAATGTTGGTTTACAGCTTGGTCAACGAACACTATAAATTGCAAATTAACAGAAGTGAGAATTCATAGGCTGGCAGCCACTGGGGTTCGTTTCAATAGTTGAGTCGTCAACATGTTCGCCTTGCAATCTGAAGATACTGTATTCAATACTTTGTGAGATGGTGACATAGGTACTGATGAAGAGTCCTAAACTAGAATGAAATGACTACCATCCAGCACTCCATGGATTCTGATGATTCTCTAACTGAAGAAGCCTAGTCATCCTTGACTTTGTTCAAGCTTTAAAACAATATTATTACTTTTAAAAAACACAACAGATAGAGATAACAAGCGGTTAAAACTCACCTTGTAACATAGACGACTTTTGAGGTACCTCTAGGCAGGAAAAATGAAACTAGACGTGGTGGTGTTGGAGCAAAATCATTGGCATTTTCATTATTACAATTGCCACCTTTAGATGGACTATTTGGTTCAGGTGAAGCTGTTTCACTTGACGGAAGCATATCTAATGTACGTCTTAATGACATTTTCACCGGTTTAATAAGATTTATATAAATGCGCAGTGTACCAGCAAGTCGACATGAATCATCCACCTTTAAGGAAAATAAGGAAAATAAACAAAAACAAATGAGTTTTAGGATTTAAAAAATGTCTTTGGAGAATATAATTTGAATGTAAAAACCAATCTGTTGGGGGTGTATGTAGATGGCTGAAGGTTCTACATGAATGGGGAGCTTCTAGGAGGTGGCGTAATGATTGCAGAAATCGATCTTTTCCATTTACATCTTAAGCAAACCATTAGAGTCACAAAAGATTTAATAAAATAACAAAAGAGGTGCCTTTTGAGCCTAGTGGATAGTGTCATTTTGATGATTGAAACTACAGGTTCTGTGTAGGAGTAGTCATTAAGGAAACATCAGTCACTAGGATAAAAAAAAGGGAGAATCTTGCAGATACATCGCAAAATAGGAGAAAATGTCCATCCTTGACTCAAGTGTTGATCACCACTTTTCAAATATTGACTTACTTTAAGATTTGAGACTACCAAAAGGTTGTCGTGACTTTGCTGGCACTAGAGCCGACATCTGCACGAATGAGGATGTCAAAGCCAGAATCGGAAAGTCAATACAGACCTTCATCACTATGAAATCAATCTGGGAATCTTCTGCACTCATTCAGCATACACGAAAAGATTTGGATTTTCAATTTTAAGTCAGTCAGTCCTCCTATATGAGTGAGAAACTTGGCGTTTGCCTCACGAACGAGCATTTCCAATAGCTGCCTTTGCTGGCTTCATAAACTGAAGATCAGATGACCGGTTGGTCAGAAAGAATTAGCAACGAGGAACACGGATAAGCAACGAACCAACCAAGAAGCCATTGCTCAACAAAAATCCCGAAGAAAATGGAGATGGATGGAGCACACGCTGAGGAGACCGTTAGGTGACAGGCCATTGCTTGATTAGAAGCCGGATAGGAAACAACGAGTTAGGACGTCTCTTAGAGAGTGATATAGAAGAGATCATGTGAGGAGAAGATGAAAGCTTATGGGCAATCGTGGAGAACGGGATAAAATCGTGATGTGCTACTGAAGCCCTATGTTCCATTCGGACCCCAAGGGAACCAAAATAATAATAATAAAGAGTCTTTTAACATACTGCTTAGTGAATGAAAGAAACTTATAGACAGAACTAAAAGGGTATATATGGGAAGAGATTATGCTATTGGTTTATTGTTAGGACTCAACAACCAGCTGATGAGATACACTTATTATATGAGGAATGATGATCCTATCCAATTCGCTTAGGCTGATGTAGGTGGAGTGGGGTTCCAACCCACTGAATGTCGAGTGCTCAGGGTGATGAACCATATCTGCATTGATTGACTCAAACTCCAAAGACAGATTATATCTACGTAATTAGTTCTTTCTACTCTCATCAGCACTTCCTCAGGGCCTTCTATGAGTTGAATGCTCATTCGTCACAGATGGAAAAGAGAAATTGATGAGGTCAACTTCTTACAGAATACAAATCCCAGTCTATAGCTATAGTAAAAATGAACGCATGAAACCCCACGTTAATCTGTGTTTTCAAGATCCTTACAATGAAAGTCGACAACCTTCTTTGAAAATATATTTGCATCCATTTGAAAAAAAGGATAATTTTACAGTGTACCTATTCATACGCATCTATAGTACGACTGCCCTAGCATCCACGCTCATTTAATATCATAACACTTATAAATCAGTCATGATGAGGGAGGGTAATTATAATGGTTGTAAATTAAATGATAAGACATAAGTCCCATTCGAAAACGGAATACAGATTTAGTGAATGGGGATGTTGAAATGCTAAAATCAATAATAGTTGGAGATTTGGTATATTATATTATTATCGTTCCCTTGAGTTTCGAGTGGAACATATGGCTACAACAAAACACCTCCACTTCTATTATCTGCTGTTCTCTTCAGCTGAGCTCACGACTGCCCATAATTTCTCATCTCCTCCTCCAACTCACACAGTCTCCTCCATGTCATCCTCGTACCGGTGACCTACTCGTCGTTTCCCGTTGGGATTCCACTAGAGTGATGGCCTGCATTACGCCTGATGTCGATCGACAGCCTCCTTAGCCAGTGTATGCCCGATCAATCTTCGTTTTCTTCGTCATATTCGTAGGGAGATTGGTTCTTGGTTAGTTTGTTGCCAACCAGTTTCTTGTTGTTAATTCTTTCTTTCTCGGAGGTCCGCCGGCCATTTGATCTTCAGTATGGAGTCATAGAAGACAATTGTTGACATCTGGTAAGGAAGATCAAAACCATCAGCAATGGTGAATATTTATGCCATCTTCTAGAATCTTCGAAATTGGGTCATTAGCCAACGAGTTCGCATGATGGAACCCCATCCATCCTACCTAAGCCTGGGTAACTTGGCCAATGCTAGTAGCTCTCATTTAAATCAAAGTCATCTTACAAACTGATACATCATATTAGAAAGCATATGAAGTTATCCTCTCTCTCTCTCCCTCTCCCTCCCCCCCTCTCTCTCTAGTACACTTTTGGCAATTGTACTAACATTATCTTTTTCTATCAGGTGTCGGTTTGCAGGGAATCGATTGGTTACAAGTTAGACCACATCAACACTCGGTAATTAATTTGATGTTCACTAGAGAGTGGCTATATACAGGAAGTTACCTGGAGTTCTGGAATGAAGATGTGACACAGGCGGGGGGTATACCAAGTCAGGTAAGAAGACAGCAACTTGCTAATTGCACAGGCTGATGGTTTAGCTATATAAACCGCGAAATAGAAGACTTTGGAATTCCTGAGACGTTAGATTCGATTCTAGTGGGTGAATGGTCCAAAAGGTTGCCTTGTGACCAGAAGGTCTAGGGTTCAACTCCCGGTAGGTAGCTACCGACAAAGAGTCCCAATCTAGGACAAAAACAACTGTCTAGTACTCTTTCCTGTTCTTCCAAACGTTCTCTAAGTGATGGCAGCTCGTGATCTAACCTGTAAAATTATCTTTCTGGTATACCTGATCAAAACGAAACAAATTGATTTAATACACACTCTTGTGCAAATGTTTACATTGATTTGTCACAGTTAGCTATGATCTGATAATTATTTTGTATTTATCCTGAATTTAAATTCTCAATGTAGAACTTCACACAAAAATGCAACAGTTCAAATTAACATATTTCATAAATCATACACACAAAGATAGGAAAATGTCAAAGATAGAAATGCAAATTAACTATGAAAAGTGATATATACAAGAGAAAGAATAATGAGAATCTAAGAGATCCGATGGATTACAAAAAGTGAATGGATCTGCGCTACTGAGATCAATTTTCAACCATTTAATCAACATTTTCCAACCATTGAATCTTAACTCTTCGACGACTCCAACTAGGCAGTTTACACACCTTTTTTTCACGTTCTTAGTGGAACATAGGGCTTCAAGCTAGAGGCTTGAAGTTTCGGTAGCAGTGGTGTTTATTAATTTTACGGGATGAGGTTGCTAGCCTCATGCCAAGCCAACCTCCCCTCTTTACCAGTCGTATTACTTACTGGCTTAGCGAGGTAAGGGAATGCGCCGGTGGCCGGGGATCGAACCTCCAACCATATCCCTGGTTGGCGAGTGTTCTACCACTGAGCCACCAACGCTCACAAACTTTTACGTGGTTCAAATCAACTGTTAAGGACTTCAAGTATTTGTGGGGTCCACGAAGTTGGGTGGATGCGCTATAAATTACGAAATATCAGGAGTTAGAATTGATGGATCATTAGATTCCGTCCCAGTGGTTGAATGGTAAACATATTCGCCTTGTGACCTGAAGGGTGGTGGGGTCATGGGGTAACGCATTGATGAAGAGTCCCAAACAAGGGCGAAACAGTTATCCAATACTCCTCCCTGGTTTACAATGGTCCTCTAAATCAAGTCAGTTTTGTGATCAGAATTAGCGTAAAAGACTTCAATGGAATGAGATGCCACGTTTTCGTCTAACAACCTTTCACTCCTTTCTTTCCAAATCCTATATTTGCTACCACTGTGGGTGTTCTGGCCATCACAATCGATGCACCTTCACTACTTACCTCACTATTACTAACCATATAATACCACATAACAAAAGAAATTGAAAGCAGACACCTACGAATATATCTTCCAGTCGTAAAGGACGCGTCTACTCAAAGATGATGCATACTAGGCAAATGTCCGAAGACTCTTATGTATCTGTGCCAAGATGAAGGTATAAGAGAGAGAGAGAGAGAGAGAGAGGGATTATGAGTCGACTAGAATGTGAACACACAAATCATTCTAATTGTTTTTTGTATAACCCTTCTTATAACATGTCTTCTTCTACTGCTGTCCACAGTCTGTAAAATTGTTGGTAAAAAATGCACCAAATTATTCTGATAAATTATTAGCTAAAAAAAAAATAAAAATGAATCATCCAAGAGACAAAACAGACTTGAACACAACAATAGTGACTCATCAGATTTAAGGCTTATAAACAAAAGACTAAAAGGTTTTATCTGTCTAAAAAGTACAAATTATTTTAGGCAAGGTAATTCTTTTTTTGTACAGAAAGGTAGGTAAATGTTAGCGTTTCCTATTTATGTGAGGAAGTTGGAAAAACAGGGTTTCCCTCTTCTAATCATCTACAATTTATCTTGATAAATTATATCTGGGACTGATGGCTAATGTTGAACAGAGCATAGAGAATAGTAGTCAACTTTTGTACACGTCAACTTCATCCACACTGGAAAAGCTTTCGACAGCATTGACTAACAAAGTGTGATTTGGCAACTGGCTCAACAATATGGAGTGCAGCTCCGTGAACCTTTATCAGCCCTTACTTAACTGCTATGTTATGATGATGCCACATGTCAAGTAATTCATAACGTAAAGCTCAAACGAAGCCTTTGAAGTGAGGACAGGAGTAAGACTAGGTTGTCTACACAATCGGTATAAGGATAAAACTTGGACACTGTGATAGAGTCTAAGTTCATTATAGATAAAATTTTATTTTGATAAAATCACACAGTGTTTGTTATACAGTAATAATTACTGATCACCACGTTTCGAGCACAA